CCACACACACACACACACACACACACACAAATAAAATTTATAAAAAAAATTATATTAGATTCTGTATTCTGTCTCCTTTCTCTAAAGACTACTCAATTTTATTCTGGAAGACAGTTCAATCACAGGCTGAGTACTCATGAATGCTTTATTTTATATTTTGCAAGAAGTAGATCTGTTGGAAGCTTAACATGCCCAAAAGATCCTCTAAATTGACAGGACTCACCTCCAAACTCTCCCTTCCCTGCAATTACAGATAAGGTTATAGGATTTCTTAAGGTTAACCTACAGCAGACCTTATTCCAAGATTTGGCCTTCTGGTGCCACAGCAAGATCGCTCCAGTCTGGACGGACCAAAACATCAATTTTCTCTAGCACTGCTTGATGTCTAGTATTGATATTCAGCTTCTAACCCCATATAGCAGTCATGCTCTGGCAAGCTTAGGCAGCCTCATACTGCCTCATACTGTACAGGTAAACCAGTTCTCAGCCAAGCATCTACATGGTTACTCGTCACACCCAGTGTTCCGCCCAATACTCCATTATCCCAGCAGCTTCAGCTACCCTATTCTGGAATCTCTACAGGACCAACACTCTGCTTCAATGACAATTAGCCAGGCTAAAATAAGGAAGTGTTCCCAGGGCAAAGGTGGAACTAGTATTTGTCTTTTTGATCAAGAGTTCAGCTTCATGTTATTGTCCAATTCTTAAAAATAGGTGCCTCAATTTTTGTCAAGTCTTATGTTGCTTATGCCACAAGGACAAGTCTAGTAGCCAGAAACAGATGTCTTCTACTTATAATTCAACCCCATTCTTTTACCACACATTATCCACACATTTATCACCTCACTTTCTAGCTAAAATGACTTACTCTCATCCATCACACTTTATTTTAAATCATCACCTACCGTATCAGTGAAACCCAGGTCTCTCTTTATAATCACTTGTCCTATCTCGTCACTGCATTTACTATAGTTTATAATTACACAACTTTTTGTTTGTTTTATTAATGTTATCTCATTCATGAGACCATCAGCTTTATAAGGCCTAGAATAGGATTACATGGTTTATTTCTACCTTTCCAAATAAGCTCAGAGCCAACAACATAAGGAGTGCTTAGTAAGAATATGTTGAAGAAGTAAACATAAAAGATAAGACTAACATATAGTAAAATACACACATGAAAAAATTTATGACTCTAAAGATGCATGGTAAACTTCAATTTTCAAAAAACCCTGTTGGAAAAAAAACCTCTGTTGGTACCAGTAACGAAGAAAAAAAAAAATCAGTTGAAATACTTATAAGGCTTTTTAATAATTGCTATAGCAGCTGGGGAGACTTAAGGCATTAAAACTATTTGATTAAGACTGGGTGTGATCTAAAGTGGGCCTGGGGAGAGTTAAATGGAGAGAAAAAACATTTTCTCAAGCTTTCACAGAGAGCAAATTGGTCAAGCAACGACCGTGACTCACCCTCATGTCAGACACTGACAAAAGGATGTACAAAAGGCGGTACAGG